AAAACTACAGGCCAATAACTCTGATTAGTATTGATGCAAAAATTCTCAAAAAAATACTAGCAAACCAAATTCAACAATAGATTAGAAATATCATTTATCATGGCCAAGTAAGATTTACCCTTGGGATGCAAAAATGGTCCAACACATGCAAATCAATATGATACATCATATCAACAGAGTGAAAGATAACAACAATAATCACTCCAATTGATGCTGAAAAAACATTTGATAAAATTCAACATCCCTTCATGATAAAATATAAAACAAAAACAACCTCCAAAAACTGGGTATTGAAGGAACATACTTCAACTGTAATAAAGTCATATATGTCACACACACGGCTAGTGTCATTCTGAATGGGAGAAAAAATAAAAACCTTTCCTCTAAGATCTGGAACACGACAAGGATGCCCACTTTCACCACTGTTATTTGACATTGTACTGGAAGTCCTAGCTAGACCAATCAGACAAGAGAAATAAGTAAGAGGCATCCAAATTGGAATGGAAGAAGTCAAATTATCCATGTTTGGAGGTGATATGATCTTGTATTTGGAAAATCCTAAAGACTCCATACACAAAAAAAAACTATTAGAACTGATAAACAAATTCAACAAAGTTGCAGGATATAAGATTGACATACAAAAATCAGTACCATATCTATATCCCCCACTATGAACAATGTGAAAATTTAAAAAGTAATACCATTGACAATAGCTACAAATAAAAGTAAATACCTAGGAATTAAAAAAAGAACTGAAAGATCTCTACAATAAAAACCATAAAACACTGATAAAAGAAACTGAAAAAGGCACCAAAAAAATGAAAAGATAATCCATGTTCATGGACTGGAAGAATCAATATTGTTAAAATGTCCATACTACTAAAGCGATGTACAGAACCCATGCAATGCCTATCAAAATACCAATAACATTCTTTACAGAAATAGAAAAAAAGCAATCCTAAAATGTATGTGGAACCACAAAAGCCAAAGTTATCCTGAGAAAAAAGAATAGCCAAAGCTATGCTGAGAAAAAAAGAACAAAACTGGAGGAATCACATTACCTGACTTCAAATTACACTACACAGCTAGAGTAACCAAAATAGCATCGTACTGGTACAAAAACAGACACATAGACCAACGGAACAGAATAGAGACCCCAGAAACAAATCCATTCATCTACAGCGAGCTCACTTTTAATAAAATGGAGATCATTATGTCAGGTAAAAGAAGCCAGGCACAGAAAGACAAACACGTTCTCACTTATTTCTGGGAGCTAAAAAATCAAAACAACTGAACTCATGGCTATAGAGAGTAGAAGGATGGTTACCAGAGGCTGGGAAGGGTAGTAGGTGGCTGACAGGGAGGTGGGGATGGTTACTGGGTACAAAAACAAGTCCTTAGAAAGAATGAATAAGACCTACTATTGACAGCACAACAGAGTGACTACAGTCAACAATAACTTAATTGCATATTTTAAAATAACTAAGAGTGTAACTGGATTGTTTATAGCATAAAGGATAAATGCCTGAAGGGCTGAATACCCCATTCCCCATGATGTGATTATTTCACTTTGCATGCCTGTATCAAAATATCTCATGTACCCCATAAACATATACACCTACTATACACCCAGAAAAATTAAAAATAACTTAAAAAATAAGTATTGGATGGCCAGGCACAATGGCTCACACCTGTAATCCCAGTACTTTGGGAGGCTGAGGTGGGCAGATCACGAGGTCAGGAGATCGAGACCATCCTGGCTAACGTGGTGAAACCCCATGTCTACTAAAAATACAAAAAATTAGCCAGGTGTGGTAGCATGCACCTGTAGTTCCAGCTACTCGGGAGGCTGAGGCAGGAGAATCACTTGAACTAGGGAGGCAGAGGTTGCAGTGAGCTGAGATCACGCCACTGCACTCCAGACAGAGCGAGACTCTGTCTCAAAAAATAATAATAATAAAAAACAAATAAATAAAACTATTGGCAAGTTTGTGAAGAAATTGGACCTTTTGTGCACTGTTGGTAGGAATGATGCAGCTATTAAGGAAAACATTATGGCAGGTCTTCAAAAAATTAATAATAGGTTTACCATATAATTCAGCAACTCCACTTTTGAGTATATACCTCCCGAAATGGAAAACTAGGAGTCAAAGAAGTATTTGTACACCTATATTCATAGCAGCATTTTCCACAATAGTCAAAATGTGGAATCAACCCAAATGTGTCCATCAGCAGATGAATAAACAAAATGTGGTGTATATACCTATATATATATGTAATCAAATATTATCTAGCCTTAAGAAGGATTGAAATTCTGACATGTACTATGATATAAATGAACCTTGAAGACATGCTAAGTCAAATAAGCCAGACACAAAAAGACAAATACTGTATGATTCTACTTATATAAGATACCTAGAAAAGTCAAATTTATAGAAACAGGAATAGAATGGTTTAATATTAAGAAATATATTAGTTTTAGGCAAGGCATCAGTAAAAAAACAGAATCTTTTCATGAATACCAAGAAAGTATTCAATAAAATCCATCATCCATTCCTGTTGAAAACTGTTCAAAAATTAGAACCAGAGTAATAATGCATTAATATGAAATGGCTCTCTCTCCTAAAATCCAAAAAACCAACATCACATTTAAAACCCTAGAGGATATCCTCTATAACCATTACTAATTTATGTTTTAGAAATTGTAGCCAACACAAAAATATATAAAACAAATAAGAATTATATTTATAGTAAGAAAAAGAAAACATATATCATTGTTTGTAGGCAATATTTCTAGTGATCTAAAAGTACATTCTACACTTTACAGAGAACCCTTCTTTCTGTTCGTCTTCACTCCTCCCACCTTGATTCCAGTTCATCTTTTATCTGAACATTTATCACCCTTAATTACTCGTTCTTGCTTTAATCCATTTTAAAATATTGCAGCCAGTTTGGACTGTTAAAGGCATCTTTCTGCAGACAGTTATCCAGGTGACCTTGAATCAACCCAGTTCTTCTACTTTTCTCACTTGTTGTCTTCAAGAATAAGTATAAAATGTGCTGGGAATGCAATGTCCTGAGATAGGGAGAGGCTGGCCCCAATAGCCTGGGCTTTATTCCAGTTCCCCTCCAGAAACAGGATGTCCTTCGGTGCTTTGGTCCAGGGACCCCCCAGGACTCCGGAGTGTAAAACACAGAGCGGGGTGCTTTCTGGGATCCCTCACCTGCAGTGCAAGTGGAGGATGCACAGCCAAGACTCCACCTGCCTAGGGCAGCTTTCCTGAGCCTTGAGGGACCAGCTTACAATGGACCTTAGGCTTTGGTTGTTCCTGGCTATCTTTCTGTGAGTAACGAACCCACTTCGTGTAACCTGGTGTGTGGGTGGGTGATAAGCTGACAACCAGTGTATAGTGGGCCTGCTTACACTTTCCACTTTAAATTCCCAGTAACTTCTCTTTGTTCTTAGAATGAAATCCAAACTCTGAACACACCCTATAAGGTTTTAAATGAGCTGGTCATTTTCTACATAATATTTAACACCTGCAATTATTTTATACATTTGTCCACCTATTACTTTTGCCTTTCTCCACTGGAATGTGACCTCCATAGAAGCTGGGCATTTATGTGTCTGGTTCACCCCCATCTCCCTAGTGCCCAGGACAGTGCTGGTAAATAGTAACCACTCAATAAGCACCTCTTGGAGACATAAAGGAATTAATTTCAATTCTGAGCATCTATAATTTATGAAATAAAGTAAACATTTTTCTCTGGAAAGTTTCATGAGGAAAGGTTTTATCACAGCACTCGATAGCCAAACATTTCAACATGAAATTAATGAAAAGAAATGAAATCACCCAGAACACAATGGAATATTTTTAAATGGGTTTGAGATCAGCAATTGTACTTAATATGAGTTTTTTCAAAGTATGACAGCAACAGAAAAGTTGATCTTAGCTTCTGAAAGTTAATAAAGCTGAGTACAAAGTTTAAGAGATTACTGCCTAGAAATCCACAATTAATCAAATTAACTCCAGCTACATTAAATAGATTTGCGGCCTTAGGCATATCTGCCATTACTTTATTTAAGTTAGGAAGGAATTTATTGCTTTTCAGTAAGCAGGGTCAGTGACAGAAAAGCTGAAACATCCATGGATCATCTCACGTTTTTACCCACTATTTCTTTTGAATGAGTAAGTAGATGTTGTCAATTTACCGCTCCTATAGTTTGACATGGTTTGGTTGCCCCCTCCAAATCTCATGTTGAAATGTGATCCTCAGTGTTAAAAGGGGGGCCTAATGGGAGGTGTATGGATCTTGGGGGCAGACTTTTCACGAAGAGATGGAGGATGGGGGTAGTAGGTATCAGTGAGTTCTTACTCGGTTAGCTCCCAAGATAACTGGACATTAAAAAGAGCGTGGTACCTCCCACCTCTCTCTCGATTTCCCTCTTGGAAGTGATCTCTGCACAAGTCAGCTCCCCTTTCCCTTTCACCAGGAATGGAAGCAGCCTGAGCTGCTCACCAGAAGCAGATGCTGGTGCCATGCTTCTTGTATAGCCTGCAGAACCATGAGCCAAATAAACCTCTTTTCTTTATAAACTACCAGCTACATGTATTCTTTTAGAGCAACAAAAACAGACTGCAACACCAACCTTGCTAAATGCTGCCAATACCTTAATGAAGTAGGTGATCACAGCAGATAAACGGCAGATCATTTTACATAATCATGTTATATTATTTGTCTTAATCTCATGTGATTAATAGCAGCACTAATATATTAATTCCATCTGGCCTGGCTACCTGTGGAGTCACTGTAAGGCATATAATTAGATTTATAAGGGCTGTCTGCAATTATAATTTGGCTTAAAACATTTGGAGGTATGAAATGTGCACTACATTTCTGCTCCATGAAATTCTACAGATGCTTTAGAATGAAAACAGTCATTCAAGAGAATAATCACATTGTATTATTATAATGAAGTGTTACATTGGCTGAATTGAACCTGTGATTTTTCTGCAATTTTTCTATCAATAAAAGCACTGACAACAATTTAATTCAGCTTGCCCAGCATGATCAAAGATACCGTTGAGGGAGAGGAATCAGCAAGGATCCTAGCCTAGCTGGGGACTTAAGACATGACTTTGACATGATATTGTCAATTGCAGGCCACAGCAGTGAGGGTGGGGAAGTCCAATGGACAAGTGGAGTCCCAAAACAGGTTCACTGGAGGCATAAAAAAAATGCAAGGAGTCAAGTGCAAGAGACTAAATGCATAGGGGTCAGTAATGTAAAGCAGTCATTATGACCTTCCTCTATGAGGTGAATGTAAGCACTTCCAAATATAAAAGAAAGACATAAGTAGTCAGCAAAGAAAGAGAAACTAGTTTTTAAAAAGCCAAATAGAAATTTGAGAATTGAAAAACAGAATACCTGAAATTTAAAAATGCACTAAGTGGGCTCAATAACAGAATTGAAATGAGAGAGAACGATGTCGGTGAATTTAAAAATAGATCAGTGAAAATTACCTTTCTGTAAAACAAAGAGAAAAAGGATTAAAAGTAGGTAAATAGCCACAGGAACTTGTGGGACAATCTCAATATCAGTGGAGTCCCTGAACAAGAGATGAAAGATATCAGGACAGACAAAATATTTGACAAAACAATGAACAGAAATTCCTCAAATATGGCAAAAGACATAAACGCATAGATTCAAGAAGTCTAGAAAAACCAAACAAAATAAACTCAAAGAAAACCATGCTAACACACATCAAAATTAAACTGCTGAAAACCAAAGATAAATATCTAGAAAGCAGCCATAGCAAAATGATATATTTTGCATAGGAGACCAACAACTCAAATACTAGTGAATACTAATGATTCCTCATTAGAAACCATAAAGGCAGTGGAGTAAAATCTTTAAAGTGCTAAAAGAAAAAAAATGTCAACTCAGAATTCTATATCCAATGAAAATATCCTTCAGGAATGAATGTAAAATAAGGATATTCTCAGATGAAGGAAAACAAAGAGAATTCATTGCCAATGTATCTAAGAAAAATTCCTGAAGGAAGCTAACGTGGAAGAAAAATGTTCCTAGAAGAAAATCTGAAACTTCAGGAATGAATAAAAAACAGTAGAAATGATAAATAGCTGGTTAAATAATACTTTTCTTTTTTAAGTTATTGAAACTATGTATGAAGTTTGAAAGCAAAAATTGTAACACTGTTTGGGAGGGTGTCAATGTATCCAAATGTAATACAGATGACAACTATAACATAAGCAGGGAGGGTGAAGAAACCTATATGGTTACCAGTCTTCAACATTTTACTTGAAGTTGTTAAATATTAAATCCAGATAAACTATATATATGTATGTATGTGTGTATATATATTCACAAACATACATATATATGTATATGTGTGTATATATATAATATCATAATATTATATATTCTTTGGAACAACCACTGGAAAAAAATACAAAGAGATTGATATGGTTTGGCTCTGTGTCCCCACCCAAACCTCATGTTGAACTGTAATCCCCATGTGTTGAAGATGGGGCCTAGTGTGAGGTCATTGGATCATCGGGGCAGATGTTTCCCTTGCTATTCTTGTGATAGTGAATTAGTTCTCAAGAGATCTGGTTGTTTAAAAGTGTGTAGTTCTTCACCCTTCATTCTCTCTCTTCTGCTCTGCCATGTGAAGATGTACCAACTTCTCCTTCACCTTCTGCCATAACTGTAAGTTTCCCGAGGCCTCCCCAGCCATGTTTCCTCTACAACCAGCAGAACCATAAGTCAAGTAAACCTCTTTTCTTTATAAATTCCCCAGTCCCAGGTAGATTGTTGGTTTGGGGTTTTTGTTGTTGTTGTTGTTTTGTTTTGTTTTGCTTTGTATTGTTCTACAGAGTCTTGCTCTGTCTCCCAGGCTGGAATGCAGTGCCACAATCTCAGCTCAACCTCTGCCTCCTGGGCCCAATCAATCCTCCACCTCAGTCTCCTGAGTAGCTGGGAGTACAGGCATGTGCCACCATGTCTAGCTGATTTTTTTGTATTTTTTGTAGAGATGGGGTTTCACCATGTTGCCCAGGCTGGTCTCAAACTCCTGAGCTCAAGAGATCCACCTGCCTCAGCCTCCCAGAGTGCTGGGATTACAGTTCAGGTAGTTCTTTATAGCAGTGTGAGAATGGACTAATACAGACATAAAGCAAAAATAAATAAATAAATAATTAATTAAAAAATTTTTAAAACCTACCCTAATGGATAAATTAAAATGGAATACTAAAAATAATTCAAAGAAGGTAAGGAAGGAGAAGGGAAGAGCAAAAACAAACAGAAAAATAACAAAATAGGAGGTCTACATCTAATAATATCAATAATCATATTAAATGTAAATGGTCTAAATATATCATTTAAAAAACAAAGATTGTCAGATTGGATTTTTTTTTAAAAAAACTAACAACTATATGTTGTTTACAAGAAACCTACTTTAAATATAATGATACACATATATTAAAAGTCAAAGAATGAAAACAGATAAACCACGCAAACACTAATCCAAAGAAAGCTGTGTTGTCTACATTAATATAAAAAATAGACTTCATATAAAGGAAAATTACTTACCAGGGATAAAAAGGGACAGTACAAAATAATAAAGGTCAATTCATCAAGAAGACATACAGTCATCAGTTTGTAGCCACCTAACAACAGAGCTCTAAAATGCATGAAGCAAAAACTGATTGAACTGAACAGAGAAATAGTCACATTTACTATTACATATGGCGACATCAACATTCCTCTCTCAGTAATTTATGGAACAAGGAGACACAAAATCAGTAAGTGACAATGAATGATAGGATGCACACTCTTGTGATGACACATGGAATGTTCACCACGATAGGCCACATACTACTGGATATAAAACTACTTTAACAAATTTAAAAGAATTGAATTCCTGCAAAGAATGTTCTTGGAATACAGTGGAATTAAACTAGAAATAAGAGAAAGATCATGAAAAATCCCCAAATACGGCCAGGCATGTTGGCTCACACCTGTAATCCCAGCACTTTGGGAGGCCAAGGTGGGCGGATCACAAGGTCAGGAGTTTGAGACCAGCCTGGCTAACACAGTGAAACCCCCATCTCTACTAAAAATACAAAAAAATTAGCTGGGCATGGTGGTGGGCACCTGTAGTCCCAACGACTTGGGAGGCTGAGGCAGGACAATGGCTTGAACTCAGGAGGTGGAGGCTGCAGTGAGCCGAGATCGCTCCACTGCACTCTAGCCTGGGTGACAGTGTGAGACTCTGTCTCATTTTTAAAAAAAAATCCCCAAATACTTAAAAATATCTTACCTTTCCTCCCTTCAGGAAGGACACCTGAGGCACATGTTCTTCACTGGCGCCCAGGATACTACAGTAGAATTGAGTGTCAGTTGTCCACAGAGGTAACTTGCTTGATGATTTTACCCTTTAATGCCTGCCTTTCCTTGCCTCTTTTAATTCTCTACTCTTATACCAAGGTTTCCTGGAATCATTCTCCAAATAAACTCCTCTCTTGGGGTCTGCTTCTGGGAGACCCTAACCTAAGACAGCTGTATATACAGTTAATTCTCATTATTCATGATAATTAGATTTTCTAAAGTCATAGCAAATACTGAATAAGTCAATACTGAACCATTGTTTCTAGGGGTAATACAGGATTAGTTTCCTTTGAGTCTCTAGTTACATTTTCATCAACCAGTCAATACATAAGCTTATCTGACGTATGTTTCTGTTGAAAGACACATCATTTTAAAAAAAATAATATATATATACACACACACACACACACACACACACACATATACATATAGTTGATTCAATAATACTGAATTTGCTAACAGCATTATAAACTCAGGCCTGAATGAAGTCTATCTCACATTTTCTCTATGAGGCACATCACAGCCTTATTGCTTTTATACTAGATAGCAATTCAGCATTAAGCTTGCAGGCCATTTTAAACAGCAAATCGCAAAAAAAGAAAAAAAGCACAAAAGTATGAAAATATGTGGCACTAAGTAAATCCCAATAAGGATATTTGTTTACAGTATGACAGTTGAAAGAAGAAGGCAGAAGGTCACCTTGTTTGACCTCAGCCGTGAATACGTGCTTCAGGCAAGTCAAATTTTCCAACACTCTGGACATGTTGCAGATGCCCCATGAGTATTGATTTAAAGTTTACAAATAGGCCGGGTGCAGTGGCTCACACCTGTAATCCCAGCACTTTAGGAGGCCGAGGCTGGTGGATCACCTGAGGTCAGGAGTTCAAGATCAGCCTGGCCAACATGGTGAAATTCCATCCCTACTAAAAATACAAAAAAATTAGACAGGCATAACGGTGCATGCCTGTAGTCCCAACTACTCCAGAGGCTGAGGCTAGAGAATCACTTGAACCCAGGAGGCAGGGGCTGCAGAGAGCCGAGATCATGCCACCACGCTCCAACCTGGGAGAGACAGCAAGACTCCATCTCAAAAAAAAAAAAGATAAATAAAAAATAAAGTTTACAAATAAATTTTAGCAAGT